AAAAAAAGACAAAAAATGAGTGCATCATCCGTGAATCGAACACGGGCCTCATCGATGGCAACGATGAATTCTACCACTAGACCAATGATGCTGCTGAGCTATTGGCTCTTGATGGAGGCTTTCTCCTTATTTTGCTTTATATTCCTTTTCAGAAGCTATTCGGTATAGAGGGATCCAACTGTTGCTTAGTTAAGGTATTGCGTTCTGCGAAATTAGTCTTTATCAATCATATGCTTGCCAAAAAGGCCAAGAAACTACTTAGTCCTACTCAACACATCTCTGAATGGGATATCTCTAAAAGTTAAATAAGCAATCCAGGTGATATTGAAGTGCAGAATAGTATAGAAGGCGTAATATGCCTTCAGGGTAAAAAGACATTACCACAGCCTGCCACTGTTTTTCATTTCCATGGTGAAAAGTACTGCTTTAGAGCCTATCTATGATCGAAGACTGTAAATTGATATATACTATCTCATTCAATTGGTACAGATGCAAATATCACTAGGTTCGCTTCCAAAGATTTATTGTATGATTCTGGATCAGATATTCCATCGCGTCATGGGCGATAGAGCTATCCTTGCCTCTTTCAAGTCGATTTTGTTGAGCCTCCGCGAGATCTATGGGCCATTGATGTGTTTCGTTTATGACCATGGTGGCCAACTCTTGAGGAAGCGAATGTGCCGACGTTACCAGTGACTCTGCTTCTTGTGCCCACCAGTCATGCCGCTGCGGTGGTACATTCCGCGTGGAGCAAATGCGGTAGTATGGATCGACGAGCCACAGTGTCAGAAATCGAAGGTGTCCGGCCCGAGATTTGGAAATCAGCTCAAATGGCTCCATACGGTGATGGAGTGCGTTTGGAAAGACTATAAGGCGTCCCTGGCCAATTGACACAGACCCAAGCTCCTGCAGAGCAGGTTTGTCATCTTTGACGCCGAATAATTCTTCCAAGTACGGTACATCCCATCCCTCAAACTGATACAAATCTGAATCCATATCAATTTCTTGACGGAATAAGAGCCTGCTACCTGTCACGTTTTCCATGTCGAAGAAATAGACTGCAACTCCCACAATGTGCTCATTACGAAGGCCGTCTGTATGCCAATCCTCGCCCGGATAGACTGGGTTTTCTGGTGTTAGTTCAATCCCTTCCAGCTTCACAATGACCTGTAGGCCTTTATCGCGAAACGTTTCCTGAAGCTTCACTGTATAATACTCATGATCAGTGCAACTCATACCAGGAGCCTCTTGAATTTTGTAACGATCCATTGGGTCTTTCATATTGAATTGTGAACGCCAGATTTTCGGGTCTGTGTTCCACTGGATGTCATGCTCCGTGGGGCCAACAATAGATTTCGCAGTTTTCCCTGCCTTCCATTCGTCATATGAGTAGAGACCTGGATCGGAATGCTCGAAGCGAAACAGGCGACTGTATTTTGCATCGACCACGTCCTTCAAGGATACCGTGCTTTCCCAATCCTGTGGGATATCCTTTGTTTCAAGACCTTGCCATTCGACTTTAACGCCGTATTCTGGAAGAGCAACATAGTCCTTGACACGAGCCAGTGTGTTGTGGTATGCTTCGAGATTATCATTCAGTTCCGTTGGAAGGTCTTCTGCCCACTTTGGATACTCATTTTGCCATTCAACACCAAATGTTTGAATTCTCCGGGGCGCCCTGCCCCGTGGGGAAGGCAAATCAAAATCCATAGGTACTCCTTTGATTAATGTCTCATTCCATGGTTCGATGACTCGAGACATTACCTTTTCAAGCGTTTCATAGAAGGAGCGTTGTCTGCTCGGGTGCAGGTCGTTGATGTAAGAGGTAATTCGTACGTCTGTCGATCCCACTGGCCCACAGAATTCCACCTCGCAGGGAAGCCACTGAAATCGGTGAGAGAACAGCAATGTTCTCGCGGTACGATAACTCCCAGGAAGCCCCTCCAATCTTTCACGATCCTGATCATGCCTTGGTGCAGCCTCGCCTTGCCCGTAGGTTTCCAATGTTTGTTCGAGTGGAACATAGCCGCCATTCACCAGAACACGCGTCTGTCCGTAAATAAGAGGGAAAAGAGATGGGTCTATTATATTCCAAATCTGCTTATTGGAACTGGGCTCCCAGTCTTTCTGCTCTCCGTACTCGTCCGACAGATCGGAGACAAACTGTTGGATCTTCAAGCCAACCGACGAGGGGATAATAGTGTCGGATTTACAGACAGCACTGCCAGAGTTTAGAACTAAAATCTGGCCTGTTTCTTTAAATCGTATGGCTTTATCGCGCAATTCAGCCAAGCACCAGTCCCACGCCTTGCGGCTAATCATCGGGCGTACCATGGCCTCTTCTTTCCACTTTGCAGCAGTGCTCTTGTCAAATACAAGGTTATACCATCCAGGTCGGTCCGTCAGCGTTTCCATCAGATTCAACATGGTCAACTCCCGGACTGTCAGAGGAGAGCTGTACCAGTCCATCGGGACCGCATCGTAGAATCTGTCCTCGCTGTCCAGAGACAGCTCAAGGGGAATATTGTTAAATCCGGGAACCTTCAAGGGGCCCGTTCCAGAGTTGTCGAGTTCATTGTCACCCATGGTGAAGATGAGTCGAGGCTAGGAACACGGAGAAAGGTTAAAAGGTTCGATATCGCTCTGGGGCGTACTGGATTAAATATAGGTGTGCCCTTGTGAAGAGGCAACAGTGGAGACGCACGGAGGAATAACGCCCCGTCCTTAAAATCAATAGTCCGTGAATGGTAGGTTTTGATGAATTATATATGTAAATAACATTGGGTAATTGTAATTCAATACAGCTTTATGCGGTAATATTACCGAACTCAAATTGTTAACCCTAATCATGGACCCTGTTCTTTTGGCCAATTTACGATGGAGTTTTAATGAAACAATACTCGGAGTACATATTTGTGAATGATTCTATGTATTTATTATACAGGATAGGACGTAGGCTGTAGCAAGTCCTGCTTCAGCACTTATTGACACGCTTCAGGATACTTTTGACTTTCACAACCACAGCCTGATGCGGTGCGAACCCCTTATCCTCGACCTGAAACTTTGCATCTCGCATTTCTTTCACGGCCTCTTTTGTCTTCTCTGAAAGTTTGTCGTAATCCGGATACTTTTTTCCTGTCGCTTCAGTGTCGTAGGCTTGCCATACGCGCCCATCATCCGTGGTTCGTGGGCTCTTGACGAATTCGACGCCCAGCCTCTTTTCGAGCTCTTCATTGAACCACCTCATGTTATCTGCAACCCGGTTTTGCTCGACGAGCTTCAGCGCAGTTTTTATGTTGTTCTTTTCACTCTCAACGCTGGAAAGGGCTACTTTTTCTTTGATCTGTTCTTCAACGGCTTCAAGCACTTTTGAAAACGGGGTCACCTTCCCTATGCCCTCCACAAGAGCAGCAAGATCATATTTGCATTTGAAACCGTTCTCCCTCAATTTTCTGGAAGTCTCTGTAATCCCAGCAGTACCAGCATTATTGATGATGTTCTGAAACTTTGGTTTATGGACTTGGGGTTTCAGTTTGACATCCAGAATGTGCTCCAAGAATTCTGGGTAGGTGCAGGGAGCATCGGCTTGTGCCGCTGGACACCCCTTTGCAAGCTTTCGCTTTTTCGGGTTGCTCACGGTTTTGAACTCGATCAGGTATGCATTGTAGAAGAACAAAGTCTCTGCGGGGCCTGCCGTGTTCGAGGCTAGGGCTGTCTCTGTGAGAAGCAGGAGACAGGAAAGAATGAGAAGAAGAAAATACTTCATAGTCAAGCGTGCTCTTTTTCTTTGGCTGTTCGTTTTGTGACTAGAAGGAGGGACATGAGAATTGATTGCAGAATCCTTTCGTTCTATGAGGAGTTTATATGTGTAAATTTTGGTATAGATATTCGACCTCCAAATAATTGATCAGAAAATTGCTAGCTGAACCCTGATGTAACAACCCTAGGAGGAAATGACCTCCTTGTTAACCCAATATTGTTATTCAAATACCAACCCAATGTTTTTCATCTAATTTACGACCTCAGTATCCCTTGTGGTCTCCAGAGGCATCGTGACCCTGTACCCTATACGCGACTCTACTTGAGAACGGAGGTCGTAGAGAGGCCGTAGCGATATCAGTAATACCGATACATACCACGCTCTCTGTCCTTCATTTCCTTTTAATAAGAGTCTAGACATCACTTGTCTTGCATTTAGCCGTCCAATCAGACCACCAATATCGAGTCGGATTCCTCGGATACTAAATGATGCCAGGTACCAGGGCGACTATAGTTACGTAACAAGAAGCATCAAGTGAGACACGCCCCATGTATATAGTATATACTATTGAAAAGTACGGACAATACGAGATTAGCTCCACGCATCTACGGAGTATTTCCTACTTCGGACCCCGGGTCTTTCGCCCCTTCATATAGTGGGGAAGATTGATCACCCTTGGCTTAAGGCTTGTGCTCGGATTCATCCGAGCTTGAACGGCAGGAACCGTGATCGGCAGCCCTCAACAGCTCACGGTCAGGAAGAAACGTTACACTTGCTTCTAATGTTCAATAAGCACGGTCCTTTGAATTTTTTGTTTGTCCTCAATCATCATAAAACCCCCATCCTTCTAGTATTCCTAGTTCTTTAGTTCATAGGAACCGTCTAGTAGTAGGTGGAGCAATGGAAATTACTCCGTAGTCGAATTGGTTTAGTAGATGTTAGCCGCCATGGGCTAAACACTAGCACAGCGCTGAATGAAACGGAGAGCTCACCATTTCCGGCAGAAATGTTGTTGAACATAACGCCCTTGCACCCCATCGAGGATGATAAGGGAGCCTTTGCCCATTTCATGGTAAGGAACGCAACCTCAACCTTGTCGATTTGAATGTAAAGGCATCCGGCTAACCCTTTAGCTTGAAAATGCGCGTGACTGGTCTCTTTCCAACTGGGAGGATGACATGAAGCTCGCAAAAGATGCCCATATCGATGCATTCGCACTCAATTTTGCCGCCTCGTTCTCAGACTTGTCTTCCATGTCGTTGGCTTTTAAAGCCGCGGAGAACACTGGCTTCAAGCTATTCTTTTCTTTTGATTATGCTGGTGCTGGGCCATTCGAGAAAGCCCTCGTGATAGGCTGGATAAAGCTCTACAGCGGGTTTTCGCCGTATTATAAGTTCAGAGGAAAGCCCTTTGTGTCTACCTTCGAAGGGCCCGGAAATGCAAAAGACTGGGGAGAGATCAAGGAAAAGACAAATTGCTTCGTTGTGCCGTCGTGGTCTTCCCTGGGCGCAAAGGATGCTCTGAAGCCGGGCACCGCGAATGGACTATTCAGTTGGGCCGGTTGGCCGTGGGGCAACAAGGACATGGATACGTACGTCGATGCATCCTACTTGGATTATCTTGATCAAGCCGATGGCAAACCATATATGATGCCGGTCTCTCCATGGTTTTATACCAACCTCCCCGGATATGATAAGAATTGGCTTTGGCGAGGTAAGCTTTACCTGAGTTCAATTTTGGATTTGTGCAAAATTTTTCGCCAGATGGACCCCTTTACTGACACCTCTTAGGTGACACTCTCTGGACAGACCGTTGGGAACAAGTCATGGTGGTTCAGCCGAAGTGGTTGCAGATCATCAGCTGGAATGACTACGGTGAATCCCATTATATTGGCCCTCTTCGCGATATCGACAACTATCAAGCATTCAAGGTGGGCAAGGCACCGTTCAACTACGCCCATGGCATGCCTCATGATGGCTGGCGTCTCTTCCTACCCTACTGGATAGACACGTACAAGAAGGGAAAAGGCACAATCACTAAGGAGGGCGTGGTTGGGTGGTATCGGCCGAACCCTGTCGCTGCATGCAACGATGGTGGTACAACTGGGAATACGGCCAGTCAGCTGCAGCTTGAATTTGAGCCTGCTCAAGTGGTGCAGGACAAGATCTTCTTCTCTGCACTACTTACTTCTTCGGCTACCATCACTGTCACTGTTGGAGGCGCATCCATCCCCGCTACATGGGATTTTATCCCGGACGGCGGGGTTGGCGTGTACCATGGAAGCGTAGGATATGGGAGCTTTCTGGGGGATGTGAAGATTTCTATCTCTCGTTCCGGTGCTATGATTGCGGAGTTCAGCGGCCCGGCCATCACGACAAGCTGCAAGGACGGTTATAACAATTTCAATGCGTGGGTGGGGAGTGCCTCCGGTCCCAGTATCTCAGCCGTCTCACCCAAATTGCCTATCGAGAAACAGACCTGCATCCAGGGCACAGCACCGGGTAACTTCCAAGGCCTCTGTGAATTCACCTGCAAATACGGATACTGCCCCATCGGAGCCTGTCAGTGCACCAAGATGGGTGCCCCGAGAGTGAAGCCCAAACCCACAGGCGTGGAAGGGTATCCAATCGCCGGCGAAGGATCCAGTTACATCGGCCTCTGCGCCTTTGCGTGCAACTATGGGTACTGTCCACCGGACGCATGTGGTGCAACAAAGGTACCTCTGACAGAACCTACCGTTTCGCCTTTCCTTCCGCCCGCTTGCACCGCGGGTACGGGCGAGGGAGACCTCCAGGGGCTATGTTCATACGCCTGCAACTACGGATTTTGTCCCATTCACCACTGCAAGTGCACTGCGACGGGAGCCCTCAACCGCCCACCGCCTGCCAATACGACCTTCAGTGCGGAATATATCGGAGGTGATGGGAAAGATAGTGGGCTTTGCAAGTTTGCATGCCAGCGTGGCTATTGTCCGGATGTTTGTGCAAGTACCGAAGGCGTGATCGCCTCTTGCACGGACGATGATGACCGCCCCGAGTGCGCTGAAGAGCTTCCTTGCGACTATAGCCTGACATTCAATTCATTGGAGGCCTTGGCGAAGGCCTCCAGCGACATACCCAAGGGCTGCATGCCAATGTATGCGGCGCAGGTCCTCATGGACACGCTGGACACAGCGCTGGCAAACTACACCGACGTCGACAATGGTTACGATGACAAGTTCGGGTACTACGTCAAATACCTCCGCGCCATGGTCCCTGGTGCTATCTCCAAATTTGTATCGCTGAACAAAGGTGAGGGGCCAGGTAACAAGTATTTCCAGTGCAGGTGGGCCATGCCAGGCAAGGAGAAGGGGGAGTACCAGAGCTGTCCAATCATCAACACATCCGAGCAAGTGTACATTGAGTATAAGTTGATCGACGAGGATGGTTTCTTCAAGGAACTCCAGAGCAAGTACGGCATCTCAAAAGACTGGGTCGAATTCAAAACCTACCACCGTAAAGTACCCGCATGTCCTCCTTTCACAGGAATAGGACCGCCTCCGATCTGCACCCATCCCCATTTCCAGTACGAAAACTTCCCCATGGCTAAAGAGGACTTCACTATCCCCAATCCCAAGGACTCAATCAAGAACGCGCTGCCCCGTTTCCAGCAGCTCCAGCTCGACCTAGCTGCCACATGGGGCGACCTCTCTTTCTTCCTCTGGGACGGCGACGATGACGACGCTGTGGCTGCCCTGTCCATGCCAGTGTTCATGCTCCTGCAAGCCGTTGACTCCATGGCGACAGTGAAGCAGATCGGCGAAGAAGAAAAGGAGCACGAGGAAGAGGCGAAGCGTAATCTGATCCTCCTCATCCTCTCAGCGGTCCTACTTATCCTACCATTTGCCGCAGAGGTCGTTGGAGCCGTGACGGGCATCGCCTGGATCGCAGATGCCGCCACAATTGCGGACGTCAGTGCCAGTATTGCGCTAGCGGGCTATGACATTGTGAAAGATCCAAAGTCGGCACCCATGGAGCTCCTGAATATCCTGTTCGCTGGTTCGGGGCGCACCGCGAAGAATTTCTCCAAGGCTGCGGACGTTCGTCGCGGCATCAAGGTGGGCGAGCTGGCCAAGTTTGGGTCTGTTTTTAAGGAACATGATGAAGCTTTGCAGAGTCTTATCCGGTTTTGTAAGAAGTGATTATGGCCTTATACAATTATGTACTCCTTTTGATGTTTGGTGGTCATGGATAGTGAAAAGCGCGTCTGTAGCCGGAAATAAATATATACAGAATAAAATTACTCAATCTTAGTCTACAGAGATCGAAGAACTAACATAATGAGCTTCCATACGATAAAGTACCAGGCACCCCTTCACCTACTAATAATCACCCCCGGGAACACTCTCCCTTCATTCATTCCTTTCTCGATCTTATTTCCCCCCGAATTCCTCTTTCAAAGACAAAAGCTGTAGTCCTTTTACCTCAATTATCCTTCTCAACAACACACAGATTTCCATCCCCCATGCGCTACCCCACTGTGAGCATGGCTACAAGAAATTATCATCCAAGCTTAGCAGTTTCCCCTACCAGGGCCTGAGTAAAAACAGGGGACATTGGGAGAATATCGGGAGGGCAGATCTCCACATTCGCGCACAGTGCAGGAACTATGTGCAAGACCGATTTGCCGAAAAGAATCCGGTGGTATGTACGAGAGGGCATATATGTGTTATGTTGGTCTTTTACCTCCTTTCTGAGATGCTTTGGTTGCTTCGTTGCTGTAGTCGGGCACTGTCAGCTTTTGCGATTTCTTGGTAGTTACTAGGGCGCATATATATCCGTGCCCTAACCCTCTTCCTGTGCTGGTTGGTTTACTGATCCTTGTCGGTCTTGCTGGATTCTGGGGTTATTACTAGTAGTAGGGGTATTAATATAATCAGGACTATAATCTTTGGGTCTGTAAATTAGAGCTTCGTGAATATTAAGTAATTTATGCAGAACTCCCCTTGGCCTCGTCAGGATTCTATGAACCGCCACCCAGATGACGGGGAGAGAACTACTAGTGCTACTAGGTTACCTCCCAACGTTCATGGATAATATCCTATCCTCCTACTTATACGTGCCTAGCTCTCTACAAGATCATTGCAATTGTTCAAGCAAATCCAGGTGCAGAATAAAGGTGTATATTGTATCCCAGGCCCGTCCCAACCACCCGACCTTAGGGCCTGAACCTCGATATGATATCGAGATGCAGTAGTAAATAGTTCAATGAGGCGGTCTAATATAATCCGTCCTCTGACATACATGAATGATATATTATAACATGATAAGAGAGTAAAGGGTATCAAAGAGATGTGTCCCGTGCCCATGCAAATATGCAACGAGGAGACCATTGCCGTCCTCAACGGTATAAAGAGAAAATGAAAAGTCGATGCAAATGACCAAGGGGTATCTTCCAACAATGCCAGCATTCATAAAAGAAAAATCATATAATGTCGTTATATAACTCCCAAATTTCCAAGCTCCAAGCACAGCCCATATCCTCCGTCGCTGCAACCCCGAGTCAGATTAGGGAGCCAGCTTGTCCTTGGGGGGACGGTGATCATGCATCCTACGGATACCACAATTACCAGTATTGACACCCCGGACTGTCGACAAGAGGCTGGACTCGGGGCTGCAGCACTCAATAGCCCGAACCCAGGGATCCTCCAACGCCTCGAAGACGGTCATTCGCCTTTCCGGAAACGGGTGCAGCATCCGGAGGAGCAGGGTGGCAAGCTCCTTCTCCCGAAATAGGGCGGCAAAAGGTGCAAGTGGGAAGTTGTCTGCCGTCACAGGTACTTCGGGGTTCTCTTCGAGGAGGTACTGCCAGCTTCCTTGGAAGGCCATGTAGTCGTCGTCTTCGTCGTTGGCGAGGTCCCAGGGTAATCTGCCGGCGAATAGGACGAATGCGGTTATGGCGCAGCTCCACACATCGAGGGCTCGGGCGTCGTAGTAGTCTATAAAGAAATCAGTATGAAGATATCTCAGTGCGTTGAAAAGGAAGAGTGGGTACATACCGCTGCACTCAAGTATCTCGGGCGAAAGGTAAGAATACGTGCCGCGGAGCCGAGCAGGGAAGCTGCGGACCGGGCCAAGTTCCCTCTCCCCTTGGCTGTTGGGAGGGAGGAAGTCTGCAAAGACCTCGGAGAGCCCAAAGTCGATAAGCTTGAGGGAGCTGTCATCGGCCAGGACCATGTTCTCCGGTTTAATATCGTGGTGTGCGATACCATGGCTATGCATGTATGCAACACCCCTGAGCATCTGTTTAAAGAGGCACTTTTTGTCCCCATGGCGAAGAGTTTTCTTGTTAATCAAGTCACACAGATCGCCATGGGGACAGTACTCCATGACAAATGCCAGGCGACGCTTGTATTTGCAGAGGCTGACAACCTCGACGATATTCGGATGATGGAGCCCCCTGGCGATGTTGAACTCCTTCCGAGCCCGGTCCCTATAGAACAGGATGGGCTCTCCTTCCTCCTTGTCAAGGAACTTGGCCGCGTACTGTACCCGCGTGCCCTGCTCTTTCCTGTGCACGATCTTGACTTTGGCGAAGCTACCCTCGCCGACGGTGTCATTTGTTACCTCAAACTCCTTGTGGAGCTTTTGGATCATGCATGTTTCCGTCTTCTCGGGTGACGGTGACCGGGTTTTGGTGGAGCTGCTTGAGCAGCGTCGCTTTTCCACCTTGTCTTGGATGTTGAGGTGTGCCATTGTTTTGGGCACTTGAGGGGTATGTCGAGGTGTTTTAGGATAGTAGCAAGCGTCGGTTGCTTGATACTCGAGGGGACTGTGGTATACTCGTGTATACCAAGTTAGAAGTGATATATAAAGCAAGCTTGGTAGGTGAGCTAGCTGGTAGTTCAAAAGGGGACAACGAGATGAGTGTAGTTGAGAAGATGCAGGAGAGGGAGCAGACAGGCCAGGCTATCATACTGAGTGCCTGGCGAAGAATTATCTCATAGTTGCGACTACTATACTGAATGACTATATAGATAGGGTTCCATGGGTTGACCGTATGGAGTCATCTCCATAACCCCACGATCTCCCCAGATTTTATAGCAAGCCATGGTTGGCGCGTGTGGGAGATTGAAATACCCAAGGAGCAGATTTTGTCGGTGCTCTACGCAGCCCAATCCCCATATACAACAGTACTCGGTGATATCGAGAAAGATGGGGAGTTTAGCGTATGAGGGAATAGAGCCTAGGGTTGAAGGAGTCGTGGTGAAGTATACAATCTATTCCCTCAACGAATGAATGGCAAGTCATACGGTAAATTACGAAATACTTTGTGTCGGAGTCAAAATTTCTTAGAAAACTAGCCAGTGAACGTTCCCTATAGGGTAACTATGATGTTTGAATAACTGACGTCTGCATTACTTGGAGGCTGCTCTGCCTCTACATCCATACACATTCAATACCAATTCTCCAAGAGACCTAGCCGGCGACAGGGTGTGCGAAAGAATGTAAAAAAAAACCCTTGACACGGTAAGACTTGCCTTAACTTCCCGAGTACGACAAGAGGAGCCGAAGATACTAGGGGACAAGAACGGTAGGCCTGTACTTATTGTCTCGATTCCAGCGAGAATTTCCTGGTTGCAACGTAATCGAACCATAGTGTCAGAGCTTCGTAAGAGCCTGCTGATCTTGAAAGCATCTCACATGCTATAGTGGCATGGGTAGGCTCGAGAAGGCTATACACGTTGGACTTGGAAGTCTATATCCCAGCTCTTGAAGTTCAGACTGCAATATGAGCCCTAGGCTAGCCAGGTCGTGAGTCCTCTTCGGCGTGTCTGGGTGCTGGGGTATAAGCAGTATGTTCTCGAGAGCATCAATGACTCCTGTCTCGGTCTGAAAACTTTGACTGAAAACTTTGACTGAAAACTTTGACCGGGGATGGTACTGTGGTGGTCCAAAAGTATATGACCTCCTGTGCTTAAAGGTACCAAGCGGCTCAGGTGGTTGGTACCTTTAAGTTCAAGGTCGCATACTTTTTGACCCCCACTGTAATGGGTGTGCCTGATGCGGCCAAACGCTTGCATCAGAGTGAGCCAACCGTAAAGGCATCAACTGAATGGTGCGCCTCGACTACGTCGGAGTTCTCAAAAGTCTTGAACACCAGTCTCTCCTTGTAGTCTCGATCTGACGTCACCGCCACTTGTACCTTCAACGATCCATTCGGGTTCTTCATCGTCGAAGTATCGCTCTTGCTCTTCGTTCCAGTCATCATAATCATCGTTCTCGTCAACAGTAGCATAGTCAAAGTCGTGGTCTTCGCCCCTTATAAATCGCAGTCCCATCTCCCATTGCCAGATCTTTTTGCCTTCTTCCTTGCTCGTCGGTATCTCATCCTTGTCCTCCGCGAGGATTTCCCCGTTTGGGCCACGGCTATAGCTAAACATTGCATTGGGATCCGGATGCGACAGGGCTTCCATCTTGGCCTCGGAACGATAAAGATCTGCTTGAAGTATGCCTGAGAATCCTTTGGCTCGCCCTTCAGCCTCTCGTTCCGCCGGTGTCTGGAATCGACGGATCAAGCGATCGTACAGCAACGGGTCTACAACGCTAGAGTGTTAGCTTTGGTCATCTTTTCCCGACTGCGATAGCAAATGCGATCAGCCGTGGAAAAGAAAGGAAAGAGCGAGCGGACCGGCTAGCTCGAGATCAGCAGAGAAATACTCCGGATGGGTATCCAGGTAGCGTTTCCGACGATTCTTGACCAGCGTCGCGGGGGACAGTGGCATTACGCCGGACGTGGGGTTTGTGTCATTCTCTGCTTGAACTCCAGTACCCATTGGGAAAAAAGGCATCTTTAACGGTCGACTGGGGGAGGGGCAGTATGATTGATTGTACCAAATTCGCAGTGGATGAAGTTGGAGAGGTGGACGGAAATGACAAGCGGTGGCGGTTTCATGCAGAGCTCCATTCAGCCTAAACTGTTTTGGGCCGGAGGACTGCGGCAAATTTCGTTCAAGAATCAAATAAATGATATAAATCTCCGCCGTGGCCTTTCAATCAACGAATAACAGTTCGCCTTGGCCGGACTATGGACTTTGGGCTTTCTACCTGAAGAAGTATAGGTGAGAACCACCTCCTGTTTGTTTCACATCGCGCGTTGGGAGTTGGCTCGTTCACAACCGCCATCCCCTACGCGCTCCTCTTCCCCTACCCACTGACTCGACATGCATTGAACCTACCAGTTAACCAACGCTTTCAGTGAAGCCTCCCCAGACCAACTCCCCAGCGTTTCTGCGCATATTTTAGGCCAGAAGCAGTAGTCTGTGGAGGTCCGACGCCATGCCGTCTTTCGAAGAAATTATTCAGCAGGTCAACTCGAGAAGACTGTGGCGAGGCGCGGCATTGCTGGCCCTCGCCGCTTTCTCGTCGCCTGTGTTTGTGCTGACACTGGCTCCGGTGTACGGCTCTGCTCCGTCGCATATCTTCCACGGCTATGGAGTTGCCATTACTGCGGCGCTGGGGTGGTTTCTCAAGGATGTTATTCAGCAGTTAACGAACCGCCGGGCTGTGTATCTACTCCCTGTCGTCGCATTCTGGTACCCCACCATCCAGTACTTTTTGTTCCAGCAGAGCTCTTCATTTGGGAACCCTACCGGCGCGTGATCACTGAGGTGGTTGCCTTCTATCCTTTTGTTTTGCTCTCCGTTGCCTGTGCCGCCAAGTTGGTGCAAGCTGGCCTTAACCTTGAACGCTATGGTGATCTTGCTAAAGAGCATATCCCCCTTATTGGCTCGTATGTCATTTATTCTTTCTCGGAGAAGCTTGCGAAATCATTCATTGCGAGGTTTATCGGTTCATTCTGGCTTTTCTCAAGCACGGGCCTTCAGCTATTGGTGGCAATCTTGTGTTCTGCCGTCATTCCATCTAAGTGGCTCCTCTTGGCCATTCCCTCTATCCTCTTCACACTCACCTCCAATGTGCACCTGCCTTTGGGAATGACAACATCGGGGCTCAGGTCCGCGCTTAATGAGGAGGGATTTGCACTCGTGGATCGGCAGGAGTCCTCAACCGGTTATATATCGGTTTTGGATAGCCTTGAGGATGGCTTCCGGGTGATGCGATGTGACCATAGCCTTCTCGGAGGCCAGTGGACCAAGACCTATCGCAACTACAAACCCAAGGTTCAGGACCCAATTTATGCCGTTTTCTCTTTGCTCGAGGCCGTCCGGCTGGCGGAAACAGACCACGGAGCGCACCGAGTAGACGCAGACAGCAAGGCACTTGTCATGTGAGTCAAAACTTAACCTTCCTACGTGGTCAAGCTAACTGTAACTCAGTGGACTTGGAGTCGGCACTACACCTGCTGCACTCATCACTCATGGAATCGAAACCACCATTGTCGAGATTGACCCTGTCGTCCACAAGTTCGCCAGCAAATATTTCCACCTCCCGTCTAACCACATTGCAGCCATCGAAGACGCCACCCTGTTCGTTGAACGCGCTTTGAAATCTCCCAAGCCCACCCAATATGACTACATCGTCCACGATGTGTTTACTGGCGGCGCAGAACCAATCGAGCTCTTCTCCATTGAGTTCCTCGAGGGTCTTAACTCTCTCCTTAAGCAAGACGGTATTATCGCAATGGTACGTTCATACTGAATTACCTCGCCAGCCTCACACTAACCCTGGACAGAACTACGCTGGTGACCTCTCTCTTTACCCGGCCGCTCTCACTGTCCGTACCATCCAAGCAGTGTTCCCGTCTTGCCGGTTCTTCCGTGAAGATTCAGGCGAAGAGGGCAATGCAGATTTCACGAACATGGTCGTTTTCTGTAAGAAGGATTCTGCTACTCCTCTGCGTTTCAGGGATGCTGTCCCTGCCGACTTCCTAGACAGCAAGTTCCGTGAAACATACCTCGTGCCCAAGCATGAGATTGATCCGGCTATCTTCACCACCGTTACCGGTGGACAACCTGTCCTGAGGGCCAAGGACACCGGTAGGCTATATAGGTGGCAGGACCAGGGTGCTCTGGAGCACTGGGGTATCATGAGGAAAGTTCTGCCAGATGCTGTGTGGGAGAATTGGTAGGATTTATTCATTATATCATATATAGCTTTACTGTATAGTGTCAACTGCCCGGCGTGGGCTCGTTCTGCCTTCTCATGGCTTTTTGAATAGGATAATTGAAATGCTATTTGTTTTGTTTCACGGCTAGATTATCGAGACTCAAATCGCACAACATGGGTAGATGTATGCACGCCGATTCAAGTGCCCACTCCTTGGTAGTTGAGCAGGCAGGGGCCGAGTTCTAACCAGGAATAACGAACGAGAAAAAAAACAATATCATCGGGAAGTATAAATAAAATGCAAAAAGATATGGAGATGCGGGGAATTGAACCCCGGACCTTTCACATGCTAAGCGAACATTATACCACTAAACCACATCCCCAATTGGTTGGAATACAGGACCATTATAATGCTTTACTAGTGTAAGATGAGCACTGACCACGCTATGCCTTATGTAGCTTAGAGCCGCCGCTTTATCCTAAGTATATCATTCAGTATGAGTAGGATTACGAATAGATGTATTACGGTACATGCCAAATAACTCCGGGAATCCTCGAAGAGAAAAACCATCTGGCGCACTAGAAGTGTCTCAACCAGTTTGGCCAGGTTTAAGATAAGAAGAACCGACATCCACGGCTTTCGTTGGCAGATCTGATCCACTATCTTGGCTTCCAGATACGTGGGATCGCCGGTTCCTTGGGTTAGTTTGTTTGATTCCATGGTGCTGTATGATAAATTCCTCGTCTGTGGATTCTAGAAGTAGCATGTGCGTTGGGCCTTTCTACATTCGGGTATTGATAGCGGACATATTCATCCGTGCTATATGCTGTATTGGAAGGAGACCAATCATGCAGTAAGGTGGAAGTAACGCTTTGCAGTGCATCCGTTCTGGTCGATACAGGCTGTGATATGTTTATTTTGTATGCATTCAGTCGTCAGTCTCCCTTGCTCTCCGTAGCTCTGTTGACTCGACCTCTTGTGTTGGGGTCGGGTTAGGGTTGAGGATGGAGGCTATCTGTGGGTTGGCAATCGCGGCCCTCTTTGCTGAATACATCTTGGGATCGTTTACAGTTTGAGTATGGGTGGTATATGGTGGCCCTTTGGCGCTAGGGCGCTAGGACGATGTATATATTCAGTTGTGTGGTTCAGGTGGCGATGTAGTTGTTGAGGATTTTGGCTATATATATCCAGAGACAAATGTAGATGCTATGTAGATACATATACTGAATTGATGCGCAACCAACAACCACACAAGGGACAGTTAGCAGTAGGTTCATGCCGTACTATTGACTAAGGATGAGTTATATACTGATATATCTCATATATGCAACAAGAGAAACGACTATCAGCCACAAAGATATGACCGGCTTCAAGGCCAATGACTATGGATTCTGAGCATGAAAATAAGTATTTGCCTATGTAGCCTTTGTAAGAACCATCCTACATCGAATTGGGGATGTGGTTTAGTGGTATAATGTTCGCTTAGCATGTGAAAGGTCCGGGGTTCAATTCCCCGCATCTCCATCTTTTTTGCCCTTCATACTTTCGTTCCTTTTTTATACAGTTTAGACATCTATGATGTCCCCCGAAGTTCCAGCACTGTTCAGTGTGGCCCTGGGTCCAGCTGCCTAAATCGTAGAAGGTCCGTCCGGACTACAAACTTCCAATGACAGGGCCCATACCGCCCATCTACAACTATACTCGATTCACTACCTAGAACAACTAATATACCAAGGACCAGACAATTGGTGCTTTTGGTATATCTTTAGTACTGGAGACAGTTGTTTGCAGAGAAGATATGTTTGGATCCAAAATATGAATACCGACATGGGCTTGCGCCTGCGTATACATCGAGATGTGATATCTGCTTGCCTTGGATGCCGCGTTAAGTGATCTATAGGGAGGAGGTTGGGTAGTAGGCTTAGGGTGCATTTGCAGGTCCAAGCAGGGCAGTGTGGTAGCCTAGTTGCTAGATTTGGGAAGTGTCACTATTAAATGTACATGATATTTGAATGATATGCGTATGTATATAGGTATCAAAGGGTATAATATACACAAGTCGCCCAAAGCAAGAGACTTCCGATAAAAAATAAGACGTAGAAGGTAGCAGATCACTCAACTGAATGGAGGCGGATCTCCTCATCTGGAATGTCATCCGATGGGACGTTTTTGTAAGGCTGTGTTCTCCGACGGCGGATTAAGAGATAGATACTGGCCGCGATACCACTTACTATACCGCAAAGTACGATGAGGACGAAAATACCACTGACGTTTCGAACGAGATCGTACGTTTCTTGCGCCAGCTGGGCAATCTGCTTCACATCTGCATCATCCGCGTGCGGGAATTGTAAGTTGTTGTTTTTGTTTATGTTATCGGCCTCTTCGTCACCAATGGTTTGCCCATTAGCGTTCGATTTGGGGGCCTTGGGGTCATCTGGTTTAAGGGTCTTGAGATCGCCTTTGAACCCAGCCGCGGCCCAGTTATCGGGGATCTTGCTCCTCTGAACCCGAGAAGCACCCAGAACTCGGCCTTCGCGATCAACCGCTTCCGCGGTCACCCAGTCCAGGTATCCGCGGGCGATGAACATCGTCTCAAAATCGGTCTTGGTGGCGTTTCCGACAAGGATAGGGTGACCATTCTTCGCAGCCCGCGCGTAGAAGTTCCACCCAGCAATATCGGTGGCGCCATTCCAACTGACATAGAAAGTCGTCGAGAGATCTGTCTGATCCGTGCCCCACACAGAGGCAACCAGGTCAGGAGGTGCACTGGGGCGGCCTGTGAACTCAAACTTGTATGCCCGATAGGTCGAGTAGCGCGAGGAAGCAAAGTTTGCGGTCAGCAAAGTGTCGCCTTCGGGTGAGAACTCGGAAATATAGCCCCTCTCACTCCATCCAACAAACACGTTATTGTTTGGGAGCAGCTGAGTATTGCCACGGAGTCGGGTGAGGCCGCCATCGGGGCGGTTATAGCGTCGGATAACTTTAGCAGTTTTCGGGGATGTGCTGGTATCTAGCTCGATGAAAAGAGCCGATGAGACATCCTCGTCGTTGCTTAATTCATCAGAGGCATTATTCAGGAGTGAAATCACATGGTGCGTCCCATTAGACTCAATGAATTTTGCATCGTGCTGCTTGGAGAATGTGAAGTCTTGTTCAAAGTCAGTGTACTGCCCGCCCAGCCGCCACATAATATTCCCATCCTTGCCGGAAACCATGTAAATCGTATTGGTAAACCGATAGGAGATAATATAGTCGCCATCGTCGTTCTTGTCGATTGAGTTCAGGTGGACATAGTCCCATCCTGGTGGCCCCACGGGAGGGGTCTCCTGGTTGACAGTGACCGATTCACTCAGGGCAACTTTGTCGACGCCATCCCAAACATAATTGATCTTTTCCGAGCTCAAATCTATTTGGACAAATCCGCCTGACAAGACATACGTATGTTCACCAGGACGGTCTTGCGTGTCCAGGGCGATTTCATGTTCTCGATACGTGATGGCCATGGCCGTTTTGCCATCGTCGAGGATATTGAACTCGTGTATATCAAAGGCACCGTACTCCTCTGGCATAGGAACTTTCTTTTGGATGTCATAGGCATTGTCTAGTACGACGCCATATCCATTATCCGAGTGATCGTAGGCGATTTGCCAGACCAACGAGAGGTGTGGTTTGTCACCAATGCTATTGACTACCTTGAAATCGAAGACGTTGCGGTTATCAAACATGGGCGAGCCAGCCCAGATGAGCATCTATTGCGCATGGGAATCGGTTAGTCGTGGTTTCTGGGAGGATTGCGGGGTGTGGGACGAAGGGACTTCGCAAGTGAGACATACCCCATCGGCATCATAGATATAGGGTCCGATCTGGTATGGCTTGTATTTTTGTGACGGTGGTTCTGGGGCGATGTTTCCATACGGCGCAACGAACCAGTAGCCCGGGCTGACGCGATCGCGATCTTTGTAATACACTTCATATTTTAACGCCCTGACACCCGGGAGCTAGACGGGGGTTCCCTTTGTTTTAGCACTGTTGCTGGCATTGTAGATAATTTAAGCATACCGTCACAAAGGACATTAAGTCGTCATCGGCGCTAGATTGTGCAAATGTCGTAAGCACCAATTGGAGCAGTGCAACAATGAGGAAAATCATTCTTTCATGGGTAGGGAACTAGACAGATTATAGAGAGGGAGATCTGGCCTGTAGGAAAAGACAAAAAAGAAAGCAGCATGAAGTAGGAAAGAATGGATTACAACCCGGTAAAATCAAAAAAAAGAGCGTGAAGGTGAAAAAATCAAGATTAGCTGCTTCATGAATTGTTGGTGACAAGCAGGGAGTCCAGCACCCCAGGCTCTCTCTATGTACAGGGGAGGGTGGGAAATAAGTTGGTCAAGTGGGCAAGGATTACGTTCAACTGGGGAGGACTTAGTATCAATCTAGTGGACGTTTGCCCCCATGAACGGTGCAATAAAACGGCACGGGACCCCGCCTGGCACTCCGTTTCAAATCCCTGTTGGTCATAGTCCATCGCGTCGTGAGGAAGCGCCGCAGCCCTGCGAGCTGTGAGTTGTTAAGCTGGAACGCTTGGTGGGTCGGTGGCTTCTCGGCATTGGCCTGGTATACGTAAAGATTGTCCATCCACCCGGATATCGGAGTAAAATCCACCGTGTTGTGTTTCAAGTCCCGCGGTCTTATTCTTCCCCTGTGGTCTTGGGACTCTTGGAGACGTGTACCTGCAGATCGAACAAGTTGCTGCGTTAGAAAGTTTGGTCTGTCGGCGTTTTACTGGAGGAACTATAAGTAAAACCTATGTTCTCCGAGGGTTGAAACCGCTAGGAACTCCACGGCGATCATTGTTTCTCATGTACTTTGTGGAGTTGTTCTAAACCACGCAAAGACTGCTTTGATTTCATCTTCAGGCTCTTATAAGATAAACACGACAATACAAGGGCTATGCCCCTGACACCTTGTAGTATCTTGAGTATGAGCGGTATGTTGCTACTTGATATTGGAACCAAACCACGTGGTTGCAGGTTCACTTCGACCGTTAAGCCGGACCCATTTTTTACAGTACTGTACAACCTGACACATGATGCCTTATCAGGCAGCATACAATCATGTGACTGCTAACTGCACTATTTCCTATGATTACCAACATTCAAGTTGAGTAAATTGTATACATATTACATTACCGCTTCATTTGTTAAATATCTTGTGGCTCTTCCGTAAAATAAGTACCTATTAAGTACTTCTTAATACAAGAAATTGGAATACAGCCCTACCAGATTGAGTTTATATAGTCAGATGACCCGTTCTGCTTTTTGGATTAGCTCAACCCCTGAAATGTCAGACCTGAGTTTTTGAAGTTGGTCGTGACTCATTTAACATTTAGAGCAGCTATCTTTCAATCAATTGGGGATGTGGTTTAGTGGTATAATGTTCGCTTAGCATGTGAAAGGTCCGGGGTTCAATTCCCCGCATCTCCATCTTTTTTGCCTATGTCTCTTTACCTGTCAGTGACAAGATACCTATAGACTTTTATAGTGATTGGATCTGACTTTGTTTTTTTTTTTTTTAGCCTTCGCCTTAATTTCAAGTACATACAATGTGGAGAGCGACTATCGTACATAGGGAGGCTAAATGCTTGAAATACAGAGTAGGTCTGTGTCTATTAGGTGCTGGGGCTTTTCCAAGACATAAAAACAATCTCGCAGACTCGATAAACTCAGCATGCTACAATGGCATTGATGCAGGGATCATCCCAGCTGCTACTACAACCATCGATTGTCATTGACGCTGCAGATTTTAAATGTATAATGCCGATACATGATCGTTATATTCTACACCTAACCCGGGCAAAGATTGGAACAGTCCGTTTGGTCAAGAAGATCGAGTAATTCCCATTATGGGCGTGTAGTTGCAGAGGATATATCGTCCAATTGAAATACAGATAGTCCACAGGGGACCAAGAGAAATAGTCTTATGGGGAATCCGCCGCCGTCTCTCCGACTCCTAACCCAGCCTAAAGCCATTCCGGTATCAAAAAACAGTGACAATGAGTGTCGCTAAGCCGATATCCTCGATGTCGGGAGTATGTACGGTGTGCGAGGGTAAATAAAAGTACAATCCAAAAAACACCAGTGGAAAGGCAGGAGATTATGCCGACGGACTCCCGCGAGGCTACCGCCAGGCTTCTTGACCAAGCCTGCAAAGAAGTTTGCCAGTGCTTGATTGTGCGATTTCTCGCCAGAGGGTGCCGAAAGAGTATCCTTTCTCTGGGATCGATTGGCTTCCCTCTCCTATATTAATTAGATGGTCAGCGACACGGCTTCCAACAAGACAAGCGGCCGCTGGAGTCGTCACTCACCTTAAGTTTCCTTAGCATATCATCAGCATCCACTTGAATTCCTCCCATATTGAATTGGACAGGCCCGATGTGCTCATTTACTCGGCCATTATCATCTAGCGGTGACATCTCAAGCTGGGGCACTGGTTTAGCTGTGCGATCCTTCTCATCTTCAAGTTTTAACTGTTCTAGAACCTCCAACTGCTTCCCGAGGAAGCTTTGCATGTCGAATGTGTCGACCTCAACCTTGTTTTTGCTATGTTGACTGCCAGGATGCGTCATGGATGCGTCTAGTTTGGGGTCTTTGATCGTCTGTTCGAAGATAGCCACGGCGCTTGTTCCATCATCCAGGCCGGCTACATCTTCGCCTTGAGACGACTTATCACCATCCACGGGCGAACCAGAGAGCGGTTCTGGCGGATCCTGAATTTCAATCGACCATGCTGTTGAGACTCCTTCCATATCAAATCCTTCCCTGATAATTCGAATCTTTCCCCACGAGTCCCAGTTTGAAGGTACTAGGATCTTATCGCGATCAATCACGTTGTGCTTGAGGGACTGTCTCTTCAGGAGCGAATGTATACCGAGCGACGAATGTAACAAGCCCTGCAGCGAGTTGGCCAGAAAAGGTGTCGTATAGATAAGTGATGCGCCATCTGCTAGTAATCAGAGAGCCGCTCTAGACCATAGGAGGCACGCAAGGCCCACAAAGAAACTCACGTTTAAGAAGAATTGTTCTCATGAACTGGAGGATGAAATCGAATTGCTCCTCGTGCCAGCCATGGTCCTTCTCCAATTTCTCGATCTTATCGGCCTGCAACATTTGATTAATAAATGATCTCCTCAAATGATGCTGTTTCGCATGTATGGTGTTCCGGGCACTACATACTCCCTGACAGACCACACACATAGGAATTCCTAGCCCCTCATCCCATTCGCCGGGCCCCAAAGGTATCGTCACCGGCCCCCCCGAGCTGGTCAATCCTTGTGCCGCTGTTGAACCGGGGTCTATTCCCCTCTTTCGATCTCTCCACTCTGTCATAGTTTCTTCCATTACAATTTTTGTCTCATCATCTAGAGAAATGAGCACGTGTCGCAAAAGACGGACCCATTCCCTTAGCCGCCGGACCCATGTCCAAGGGTCCGACCAGTCTAGTAGGATCACGACCAGCGTCTCCGGGACAGATTGGGCGGTCAAAAGCGGTTTGAGGAGGGGCGCAAAAGATAGGGAGGGTTCGGAAAGGAGATAGGCAGAGACACGCGCCAAAGTATCTTTTAAACTACATATTAGCCCGATTCAAACGCACGAATGCCCTTGAAGATGTGTAGGTATGGCCGTATTTACCTTCTTGGTCAGCATCTAGAACATCTTGGTATGTGTATCCTAAAGCGAACTGATTGGCAACCGGGGGTACCCTTCCCTTCCGCCTGTCGTTTGATAAGCTGGGATCTGATGTGTCCGCCGACAATGTGTCTAAAAACTCTCTTTGACTCTCGGGAGTACCTCCTGGAAAGCAGAATATATCTGATTAGCGACATACAGGGCCATTTTGTACCAGTCGGGGAAGTCGAGGCTGTATACCTAGGATGAGAAGATTCTTTTCCGGCAAGCGCTTTCCGTTGGCGACGCTATCTAACATAGAAGACCAGATATTCTTCTTCGGGCCATCCTTGCTCGAGGGCCGACTGTTGTTTCCCGACCCGAGCTTGGGCCCGGGATTATGACTTGAGGTGAACATTGTCTGTCCAGTTTCGACTGTATTTAGCGGGCGCGGACCATCCCAAGCGGTCGCCAGACAGTCCTGTCAATATTACGACGAATTTAACGCGTGGACCGCGAACTGTCGAGGTCGGTGAAATAATGGAACAGCGGTCGGAACAGTGTCAGGGGATATGGATCTGGAGTCGGTATACTCTATGAGCTGTTCAGACAGGATCGTAGACAAGATCTTTTCCCGTTAAGGGAGGTCTTCAATATCTCCAGTAGCCGTCTATGAGGATGTTGAAATTTCCAAGGGTGTCGCGAGGAAGAGTTGTTCCGTAGAGGGGGAAATTACAAGTTATTTCGTTGTAAACAATAGTTGCAAGTCTCGCCGTTCTTGCGGGTGGGACCTCCCGCGGAGGCCGCCCGTGATTGATCTCTTTGCAGCTTAGTCCCGTTCTCCGAGCCGTAGTAGCTATCTATCTTTTGCGCCAAAAAGATCTACCCCAGCACGTTCAGCTGGATACAGATCAACTATCCTTCCGAAAGCGTGTTATACGGTTATCTCACTTATTCACTCGGAAGTCGTATTGTAATAATGAACGCTATCCGTCAGATCCAGGCACTCAATAAGCGCGAACTTGAAAATGCAATGTGCGTGGTACTTTTGCTTGAATGGAATCCGTTCCCCCCCAAAGGATTTCCAGCTAACACTCGTTGACTGATGCAGCCCACCTGAAGCGTCCTGGCACGCCGATTACCGAGACACAGCATACATCTACATTGGTGGTCTGCCGTTCGACCTCTCCGAGGGTGACATCGTGACAATCTTCTCGCAGTATGGCGAACCAGTCCACGTGAACCTTGTGCGCGATAAAGAAACTGGGAAGAGCCGAGGATTTGCATTTCTAAAATATGAAGACCAGCGCAGTACAGACCTTGCCGTTGATAACTTAGGTGGATCTACAGTTCTGGGAAGAGTGTTGCGTGTGGACCACGTGAGATATAAGAGAAGAGATGATGAAGAGGAGGGGGATAATGTCGCAAAACTGATGGGCGACGCAGTCGCTAAGAGTGCAGGTGATGGAGATACAGATGATGAGAGGCGCAGGCGGAGAAAGAGAAGAACTGGCGAAGATGAGCAGGGAAGACGACCTCTACTGAAGGAAGAGAAGGAGCTTGAGGAATTAATGATAAACCACGATGAAGAGGACCCGATGAAGGAGTATCTCATACAGGAGAAGAAGGAGGAAGTCGCGCGAGCGTTAGAGAAGCTTAGCCGAGAAAAACCATCCCGCAGACGAGAATCTAGTAGGGAGAGGTCGAGTCGCCATCATCGTCACCGCCACCATCGTCGCCGATATGATGAGGACCGCTCTCGTTCTCGAGAAAGGAGTACTCGGCATCGACGGTCACGCTCAAGAGAAGAGCGATCCTATAGGAACAGATCGCCACCAAGGAAGGAGAGAACCTACAGAGATAGGACACCGGTAGGATCACGATCGCCTCAACCACAGCGGAATCGAGATAGGGAGGACCGACACAGATAAATCTCTAATATGTGGTAATGATTTATATGAAAGGGTAACAGACTTGGTCATAGTCACTACATGGTCACTGGGGCGCACTTGATGAGCCCGCCAGCTCGCCAGATGCTCATCATCTTAACGATGAAAGAATGCACGGATCAGCCGAAGCGTGGGATAAAAACCACCAATTGAAGTAGACACTCTGACGTTCAATATCTGCCATATGCAGAAAAAGAGCCTGTCAGGTCTCATGCTGCGACGTCGACATCAAGCATTTGCCAGACAAATGGTTGTTTGCTTGTAGCAGGAATGAGTACCATTGCCCCATAAAGATGCGTATAATTAGTACTCTTAATGCTAGACCTCTTTCCCGCAGAATGTTGCGGAGAACCCTACCTCAGCCGCCTCCTAAGTATCTTTTCCAGCCTTCCCTCATACAGTAGCGCTTTCCATCGCCGCCTTCACGAAGGACGAACTTCTCCCAGCGTCCATCCCTGCCTGATCCTAGAACGAGAATTGTTTGGTCGTCGGGCCATCCTACCACACCTTTAAGAGGTCTTCCAAATGAGGTCCCAAGTGGTACATAATGAGAACCTGGTGCCGATTCGTCACCAATCTCGAAAGGAGCACTTGCAAAAGAGTAAACATCAGAGAAAACCCTGGGAAGCAGGGGGATTTTCCCTAGGATGCCCCATTTCTGGTTCGTTCCTTCTTCCGATGGTTGGGATGCTAGTGGATTACGATGCGAATGGTTTAGTGGGTGAGGAAGATCAAAGACATGTAATGTGGACTTGTCCGATGTTACGGCCAATAAATTGTTCGAAGGCGAAATGGCGAGAGAGAATATCACTGCTTGATCGACCCCCCGCCGTAGTTCAGCTATTTTTGAGCAATTGCTGGTGGAGAATACCCGTACCAGAGTCCCCTACTGTAGTCAGTAATAGATCCAGTTTAGAGTAGAGGGGTTCGTGGATGATACCATTTCACTCGCTGTTGCCAGCACCTCTCCATCCGGGCTCAGCGCCATAGCACGTAATGGTGAGCTGTGCGCAGGTATGATGCTGACATTCCCTGTTTCAAGCTCAACTAATTGAACTTGCCCGGGAGATCGCCCGGGGAAAGCAAGCAGCTTCTGCCCCAAGCAGGCTAGGCCCATCGGATTATCTGTTGTTTCAAAGACAGACAGCTTTTGCGGGGGGGTTGAGAATGCGAAGATGTGGATGCTGTTCAGTAAAGCGACGACAATTCGTGACTTTGACAAACGGACTCCTAGTACAGAGGTGCGGAATTCTAGAGTAATGACCGCTTTCTGTTTCGCATCATCCCAGATAGCCAGCTATGGATATACGCCATGAGTACACCAAAACTGAATGTCGACGTGCTAGATTCGTGGTAGTGTACCTACCTTGTTTTGGGGAAACTTAGGCTGCCTTCCCCCACCGACGATGGCTAAGTAGTTTGTCTGTCCTAGCATTACCGCGACGCCGATGCCTGCATTAAAATCTACAGGGTGTATGAAGTTAGTGGCGTGGAAGGGACTACACGGACCGGACTCGGTATAGAGACCAACGGAGCTTGCATACCTCTTGATACTTTCAGCTCACAAGGGTCGGCATTAAAGACTACAACAGGTTATTCTCTTCTCAGCCTGGTTATTCCCACAAAGTAATCCTGACACGTAGTTAGAAGACCTACCACAAAATCCCGAATCCAGGCCAACAGCAAAACAGCTGTTGTCATTATTAAAGGTCGCGGAAAGGGAGAAGGGCCCCACGGATTCATCAATAACTTGACGGGTATTCATAATGCTATGTTGAACGAAGGGTTATCGAACCGGGAGACTGAATCCGATGTTACCACGGAAAGTATCCAAGTAGATGTTGAGTGCATTCAGGTTGCTTTATCGCCTCTAAATAGCAGCGGTCACCAACTGAATTATTAACTAGGAACGTTGATGCTTTAACTAGTAGTTGAGGAAGGCATTCGCTGGCTTCGGCAAGATGAGTTGGTCCCCGGATTAGGTATGGGGGAAGAGTTAGGTTAGGTCGTCGATGGCCAGGTCTAGGTTCACGTTACTAAAAGAGTGACTTGTTCCCACCACCACGAGTTCAAATCCCGCCCTGATCGTTTTCTTTTCCTCGCTCCGATTCTTTGCTTCAATCTTCCTGCGTCTCAGACCGAACCCTCCACAGACCATGACCGTGCCTCACTGCATGAATGGGACGTTGCCTCTTCTGGCTAAGATTGATTTTTAGGTTACATCCTAACTTATCATGGTAATGCCTGGGCTACTGTTCTCTGCCTATATTTGAACGTCATCTCCGAAGATGTCTGTACGTACATCAGCACTTTCCTTGAGGACTGTATGTTCAACTACAGCGTGGGAAGGACTAGGTGGTTCCTACTTGGTTAGCAGTCGTGCTATGGACGCGGTACATAGCTAGGGCTCTTGACCGATATGGCTATTTCTTGGATTACCACAGGCACGCCTGCTAGCCACTCAGGCTGATGAACATCAGTTCTCATGCTCCTAGTAGAGCCATGCAGTGCCAACCTCAATCACTCGCACCCTCCACGAGAGATCGAATAAGCTAAAAATTACTGTTGCCCTAATGGAAAAAGACCTGAGATACTCTGTAAATATCAACGAAAATACAAGAATGACGGTAGTAGCTAGCGCCACCGAGATCATTCTCTAGTATCACCTAGAGTATGAAAAGGATGCTTATTTGTTTTTACAGATCAATGGATCGTGTTTGAAATCCATATACAAGCATCCGGCCTAAGGTGGTTAACGGCCATTGTACTGTGTATTGTACGATGCGTTTTCAGTACCATTTGGGCCCGCAGCGACCCACGGCGTCTTCCATTGGATGTCCCGAACCCCTGAAAGGGCCATGGACTGGGGAAGAAATGGTCGGGTCAAGCAAATAAGGTATGATTTCAACCAGGCACAGGGGCGATTTTGAAAAGGGAAAAAAAAGAAACAAGATACTTGAGCATGAGATGGGTCCTGACCCCATGCGAAGTTTAGCAAGCTACTAGGTATCCCCATCCATCACAATTGCAATTCTCAATCGAGAGCAATAATTGATGATCCTCATGTCCATATCGGACAGGTAAATTATTGGGTGAACTTGGAGTAGTCAGTACCAGACTTATCTGTCAATGGTACCTGACAATACAGTACCAGTCCTCTTCTTGAGTGAGGTCCAACCTGGAGAAGCAAACGGTAGATGTGATTGGCCTAGAGGATCTTACAAAAGGAAAGGGGGGAAACGCTCGCATCAGCGGTTTACGTATCTGTGATACCGTGTATGCAAGAATACACGGTACCATACAGAGAGCAGCCTGAGTGCCTTACTGTACCGGGAGCTAAACTAAACAAACTAAGGGAGACCAACTTTCCCCCTAATGGGCGAAGTAAGGTAACGTCTCTCTTCCTCACACTCCAACTTGTCTGCTGCTCATTCGACCTCAGGAGAGCAGCAATTTATCCCATCTCCCATTCACCTTCTTCTCCCGGTCCTTTCCTTAGCCAAAACCACTTTTTGTGCTTAGCCGCTCGCTTTCTCTTCCTTCAACTTTCTCCTCCTCTTCTTTCTTGTTTCCCCCCCTTTTCTCCCCACGTTCTCTCCTTATTTAGCCCACCATGTCGTCGGCTTTCAACGCGGTATGTTACTTGCTTCCCCTTTCCACACTCGCTGCTTAAACAGGTCAACCTTCTACCCCCTCTTGACCTCCACCCAACGTACAATTATCCCTGAATCGGTTCCTCGCTCTTGACACCCCTACCCAATCTACTTCCCATGAGTTACTGATCATGAGTTCAATGCCCTATAAACAGATCAAGCTCCGTCGCAAGAAGAATGTCAAGAAGGGTATCCAGTTCTGTTTGATGGTCTGCGGTGCCAGCGGAACTGGTGCGTATTAGGAATGCCCCATACTCTGCTCTCCTGTGTGGGAATTGACCAATCGCTATCCTGACAGGCCGTACTACCTTCGTCAACACCCTCTGTGGCAAGCAAGTTTTGGAGGGCAAGGATGCCGACGATGCTGCCAATGCTCATGTTGAGGAGGGTGTCCGCATCAAGCCGGTCACAGTCGGTAAGTCGATGTTCGAATCGGCATTGAAAAGGACATGCTAATTGGGCGGCCCGAAGAGCTTGAATTGGATGATGAAGGCACCCGAATCTCTCTCACTATCGTCGACACCCCCGGCTTCGGTGACCAGATTGATAATGAAGCAAGGCATGTGAACGCCGCTAGTGCTAGGTTCGCCGCTCGCAAAACTGACCGTTTTACAGCTTTGGTGAGATTGTTGGATACCTTGAGCGCCAGTACGATGATATCCTTGCCGAAGAATCACGAATCAAGCGAAACCCCCGCTTCAGGGACAACCGTGTCCACGTCCTTTTGTACTTCATCACACCGACTGGCCATGGCCTCCGTGAGCTGGATATCGAATTGATGAAGCGTCTTTCGCCTCGTGTCAACGTCATCCCCGTCATCGGAAAGGCCGACTCCCTCACTCCTGCCGAATTGGCCGAGTCCAAGAAGCTGATCATGGAGGATATCGAGCACTACCGCATCCCTGTCTATAACTTCCCTTACGATATCGAGGAGGATGATGAGGACACTGTGGAGGAGAACGCCGAACTACGTGGACTTATGCCATTTGCCATCGTTGGCTCTGACGACTTCGTGGAAATCGATGGCCGGAAAGTACGGGCCAGGCAATATCCTTGGGGTGTTGTTGAGGTTGAAAACCCTCGCCACTCTGATTTCTTGGCCATCCGAAGTGCTCTTCTTCACAGCCACCTTGCGGATCTGAAGGAGATCACCCATGATTTCCTTTACGAAAACTACCGTACCGAGAAGCTCAGCAAGAGCGTTGACGGTGTCTCTTCGTACGTTATCCATCGCTATCCTTGTGCTTATGTTGCAGGATACTGACCCCTCTAGCAGTGCCCAAGATTCATCAATGAACCCAGAAGACCTAGCATCCCAGTCCGTTCGCCTGAAGGAAGAACAACTCCGTCGTGAGGAGGAGAAACTCCGCGAGATCGAACTCCGGGTGCAGCGTGAAATTGCTGAAAAGCGCCAGGAATTGTTGGCTCGTGAAAGCCAGCTGAGGGAGATCGAGGCTCGTATGGCGCGCGAGTCTAGCAGCCAGGACGTCGCCAATGGTGATGCTTAATTCAAACTTGTCAAAGACTAGTCTTACGTTGCGCGTTTGGCACCGACCGTGTCGACGTAATGGAATTTATGGCGCGGCGGTTGTACTCAATGGGGTTAATATTGATTTTCTTATTCACGTTAATAGCTTCGTTTGAGAGGGAGGGAAGGGAAAATGCAACGCTCCGTTAATTGCGATGGCTGGCGCCATTCTTCCCTTTCCTACAAAGAGGGATTCGGACAAGAGGCGATGAAAACTTTGCTGCAGCTCCCCACCTACTTTTCCGGCTCTCATTGATTTCTTCTATGCCCTCTTCAATTCGGACGGGGCCTTGTCTCGTTTCGCAGCCCGTGTTTGTGATGCTCGGGGTCAAAGATAGCATCTTTTAATCGTTGACAGTTGTCACTGGAACACCTGCATAACTTCCTTTCCTTTTGCCATCTTATATATTTCTTTTTCTTTTTTTTTATCTCTTACCCCCCCTTGTTTCTTTTTGAACTCTTATCATCAATGACACCTGTCCCAATCTCAGCAGCGCAGCAAGATTCCCTCTTTTGTCATTTTATCATTTGTGTTGTGGCTTACGTCTTGTCTCTTATTATTCTATGTCTCCTAGTTGAATAGTAGTGCATGAGGAAGAAAAGTACCTTACAGCTCGTATGGCTGGCGTAAGTCGCATACATTGATGCAAGGTAAGAATGCCAAGGGTCGATGATGGTCTGGACCATACACCAGCTATGTAACAAAGAGACTTGATAGATTTCAATGTTTTTGATCATTGCCCCCTCCAGTTCGAGTAGCCACAGAGCTGATTACATTTCTATGGCCGCCAAGCTCTTCCTGGAGAAAGGGAGAGAAGAAGAAAAGATGGTAAAGAAGGGGAACAAAGGCAAAGAAAGAGAGAGCCAAGAAAAGGTTCGATGTTAACTAGGTCAGCACCAGCTTTCCTCTCCATTGTAGTTTTGCTATGGGTAACTTGAAAGGTATGAAGACAACATACACCAGGTTGACATGACCTGGGGAAAGAAACTATACGTGGAATGCAAACAACACGGGCGAAAAAGAAACGATGAAAGAAAACACAATGGACGTACAACTAACATTAACAATAGACATGTGGTATTTGCGCTTCATTGTACACAGTGGAAAATAGGCAAATGATGATAGATATAAAGGCTGACTTGATACAGATCAAATCAATAACATAGAGGTATTAGAAAGGGAAAAAGGAGAAGATGCGAGAAAAAGCTCATACAGAAGAGCGAAATGCCTAACGAAGCGACATCGAATGCCTTTCAGAATGGCAAAAGACCGGTCTAAGAGCGATCAAAATAAACTTGAAAGAACAAATGCTATCTCTCATTTCGTCCATCTCTGTTCAACTAATGCTGCGGCTTGTTCCAGAAATCCAAACTGGCTACTACGTCTTCGCCTGCTTCGTCTTCGTAGGCGTACAGTATCTAGAGATATATTAGTATAACTACATCGGTAGGAGTTACTCTTGTTCGACGTACCTCTCTTGTAGAGGAATGCAGCATGCGAATGTTCTTCCCAGTCATAATGTGGATCAGCTCGCTCGTGTCAACGTGTCTGATTTCGATGAAATTCGGTTCAAAGGCGAGGAT